CCTTTCTGAGTTCAATTGTGATCATCTTCCTCCGGTCTTTTCTCCCTTGGATCCTTCTTGCAAGCTCTCCATTGACACTAGTGACTTACTATCTGATCCTACTTATTATCGTAGCTTGATTGGCAAGCTCAACTATTTAGCACATACCCGACCAGATCTTGCATTTGCGGTTCAACATCTATCTCAGTTTATGCAAACTCCCCGAGTTCCCCATTTTTCAGCTGCTTTTAGAATTCTACGTTATCTGCGCACTAATCCTGCCCAAGGGCTTTTTATGAGCAAAGATCCCTCATTTTCCATTCTTGCCTTCTGTGATGCCGATTGGGCTTCGTGTGTTGATTCTAGAAGATCCATCAGTGGGTATTTCATAAGTCTTGGAGGTTCACCCATTTCATGGAAGTCCAAAAGGCAAGTTTCCGTCTCTTTGTCTTCAGCGGAAGCAGAGTATCGCTCAATGCGTCGCCTTGTTGCTGAATTGACCTGGTTGAACCGTCTCCTTCAAGATCTATCGGCACCTCCGACTCTTCCAATTCCTATTCACTCTGATAGTCAGGCAGCTCTACATATGGCTCGCAATCCCGTCTTCCACGAACGCACAAAACATGTGGAACTCGATTGTCACTTTGTGCTCCAACAGTTTCTCTCTGGATTGATCTCTCTAAATTTTGTTCCGTCTTCTTCCCAGCTCGCTGATATCCTCATAAAACCTTTGTCAGGGCCTTCTCATTTTTCGATTCTTGGCAAGTTGGGGGTCTCTTCTTTCCCCTCCAACTTGTGGGGGGAGGGGTGTTAACTCTGGTATTAATGGAGAAGATGAAGAAGACGTTAATGGAGAAGAAGGAAAAGGTAAAGGTTTGATATATTCAAAGATGTTTAATTCAACACTTGGGCCCCTAACAAATAAGACAGTAGGGCCGCCTGCTTATTTAGTGACAATTGGGTCATCTGCTCAATTTGTACAGACACATCAACATTTTGGATCCTTCTATTCCCACATGAGTTTGTTATATAGGATTCCTTAGGTAGTCATTTTGTCATTCCTTTAGCCAACACTAGTCAGGCACTTTTATAGGATCCTTTTATTATTTTATTCTCTTAGCTTATAAATTGTATGCATTGGTATACATTCAAAAAGGCAAGCAGAAAATTGTTTAATACTCTCTCGTTTATTTCACTGTTTTATAAAATAAAATTAATTTTTCTTGATTACGTAAATGGACACTTATTTTGGATTAAAATAAAAAAGTAAAATAATTACTTATTATGGATCGATGGAATAAACTATTAACCTTAACAGTAAAAAATTAAGCAATTAAAGGTTTTATTGGCCTATGCCTTGAACCTCCCCTAATGCTACGTGAACCGAACCAAACTTGCATTCGTGAACCAAACTTGCATTTTCCCTCCTTACTATTTTACTATTTTGAAAGTTTCTCAAGAGATAATTCAATTATAAGGTCTTCTTTCATCGATTTCTGATTTGTTAAGGTGCGACCAGTAACCTATTACATAGGTGTAAAATTATATCCTTGAGTATCAATATCTCTCATTTTTGTCTCATCAGAAAAAAGAAAAAGGCAAGACAACTAGCAGAGGGAAAATAGAATTAAAAAGGGAATATATTTCGTGATTAAATCCTTGATAAGTAAAGGTCACTTAGCACAAATGTCTTGAATAAAATTAAAGAAAAATTTACTCATACTCATATCACTAAAATAACACTATTATAATTAGATGATAAAAGATTATACAAATGACACATGTCACGCTATTATTGATGTGATATGCACACTAAATACGAGTACATATTTATGATTATTCCCTCCGGGGTGAAGACTCAAAAAGTATTTCTATTTGGGATTTTTTCCTATCTATACCATATATGAAACCTTATTATTAAAAATGTGCATAATTCCATTATTACCCACTATATTTATATTATTCCTACAAATTTATACCATAAATTAAATACCCAATATTAAGAGCTGATTCCTTCCAAATTAGGTGCTTACAAATCTGAAATAAATATTTGAATAGCTTATTCCTTCCAAATTAGGCGCCTAAAAATTTGGGACTAAATATTATTTCATATTCCAAATTAGGCGCCTGAAGAGAAATTAATGATTATTAGTGGTTGGAGGAAAACGATTTCCATAACGATGGATTCTGCTGAAAATAGTTTATTTTGCAATATCAATTCTCATTAAGTTCTCGCTACCTTTCAACAACATAGGTATCACGTACTATTTAAATGTTAATTGAAGCAACTGATACGGAAAAGAGCTGGAATCTGTAATGAAAATGACTACAATTCATAGATTATGGGAAATCACGTTCATCCAGTTGGTGGAAAACATATACTTGGTGAAAAATTATCCAGATCTTAATGTAAGCAAACACTAGAAATACTTCATTATAGAAAATATTTATACTACAATTAAACTACAATCTATGTTGAAAAAAAATGTTGACTACAAAATTTTCTCCTAATCTATAAATTTTCTACAAAAAATCTACAAATAAACTACAAATCCGTTTAAGTATGTATAAAGCAGTATTATTTTGAAGGGTATCTACAAAATTACTACATTTATACTAAAATTACACTACAATCTATGTTTGAAAAAAAAAATGTTGACTACAAAATTTTCTCTTATCTACAAAATTTCTACAAATAAACTACAAATCAATTTAAGTATTGTATAAAGTTGTATTGTTTTTAAGGATATCTATAAAATTACTACATTTATACTACAATTAAACTATAATCTATGTTGGAAAAAAATGTTAGACTACAAAATTTTCTCTTCATCTACAAAATTTCTAAAAAAAAAACTACAAATAAACCAACCTTTCTTATTCGATCTTCATCCTTGTCAAAGGCCCATGACTACTCCTTAATGAAATCTTCAGGGTTGTATATGTACCAAATTGGTGTTGGCCACAGCCACCGCCAGTATTTGGCGTTATTATTGTATGGATTTACTACAAAATTTCTTTCAAGAAAACAAGAAACGTAGCTGTGGTCAATTCCAACTTGAAGAACTTTCATGTGTAAATTGTTTCCAGATTGTAGTTATAATGTAGGTTTAATGTAGTTAATTTATAGTTTTTGTAAAATTTTGCAGATAATTTGCAGATTAATTGTGGATGTCACATTCCTACAATTAGTTCTTCATCTACAAAACTTCTACAAAAAACTACAAATAAAAGATGCCAAAATAGCAATTCATAACATTCCAATCAAGAAATATGAGAAGAAGTTTAGAAGTGATTTAGTATCACATCTTTTTCCATTAATTGGATCGACACTAACATATCGACCATGTTGTTTTATGACACTTGATGGCCACGATGGTGATGCCTGCAACCTTTCGACCAGGTGACGTCGAAACGGAATTCAAACAAATCACTTTCCAGAAAGAGGGAATTTTGTTTGGTTACAGAAGAGGGAAAATGGTAAAATGAATGTGGGGTATGGGTAAAAACGTGGGTGAGGGGTAAGGAGAGAGAATTAGAAACGTGAGATATATGGATACCTTTAATTAAGGAGTAAAAACTGCCCATTAATTAGATATGGATACCTTTAATTAAGGAGTAAAAATAGCCCATTAATTAGACCCTTAATTAAGTATGGTATAGAATTGGTAATTTGGTATACGGGTTTGTAATTAAATAAAACTTTAAACATTGAGAGTAATAAAGTTTCATATGTGGTATAGGAAACCTTATTACCCTAAATGTGCATAGTTTATTAATTACCCGCCCAGTCCACACTTTAACTACAATTTATATACCATTCGACTATTAGGCATTAAAAGAGCAGAATATTCCCTAAAAACGCGCTAAAATTAAGGAGAAAATTTTGGTATTAATTGATTCTACGTTGCAATTTGATCCTTTGGCATTTATCTTGATTTATCTTGCTGTTTTGCTATCGAACAAGCGCTACCATTACCATATTGTTCCTTCATGTGCTGCAGACTTGCAATCTTTTCTTGCAACATTGTAGCTGCGTGGAAAATTTTGAGCCATGATCATTATAAACTTATTGAATAAAAGAAAACGTGTTTCCAGAACTACAATTCAAATTCTCGAAAAAAAAAAAGAACGAACAATTCAAATTTTCGAGTTTTAACAACTCAAAGTTGAAAAAATCTGTTCTTCCATATATTTTCCACCATTGATAGCCATTAAAAAGCTTGAAAGCTTTGAATTCAAATTTGGGTTTTCAAAAATCATTATTTGTTTGGATTGGATGTTGTTTTAAATAATTCGGAATATGTTTAGGAGTTTATATCTCAATTCTGAGGGGTTTTGGTGAAGATTAGACTTGGTTTGGACTGAATTTCAGATTAAAACTCGAAGAAGAAGAAGAAGAAGAAGAAGAAGACATATTTCCAGAAATTGTAGATAAATTGTAGAATTGTAGATAAAGTGTAGATAAATTATAGATTGGGAAGACTAAAACTTCTACAAATCTTCTACAATTATGTCGAAAATGCCAATTATGCTACAATTGAAATGTGAATTGGGATTTAAAATTCAATGTATCCAGTTTGTAGATATCATATAGATAAATTGTAGATTATTTGTATTCTAATTGTAGATGCATTGTTTTATGTTTTCACAAATCCAAAACAACTAAAGCTTCTACAAAATCTTCTGATTTTGAGTAACTTTTCAGTGATAAATAAGAGATAAGTGACTTTTGTGAAATATATAATTAGTTAGATGATCTTCGGTGAAATTATAGGAACTCATAAACTTCAAAGCCTCAATCCGCCTCTGCCCTTTTGGAATGTACGTACTGAGCTCCTACCACTGCTTTTCTTTTATTCTTTCTTTTAAATGAGTTTTGACTTAAAATGCCTAAGATTAAACAAAGAGCCTCTATTCATGAAATACTCACTGTTTTTCAACTTTTTCAAGTGATATTTGTATTGTATGTAAGCTCAAATTTACAAATACTCTTTTTATTGTCAACTTCAAATTTCAGCTTTTACCAAATATTGTCCAAACGCCTATTGTATTAATCCTTAGTACAACTCAAACTGTTGCCTAGCATAAACTACCAAGAGAAACATGAGTCCACATCTTGCATTTAATTAGTACAATCTGCTAAGTCACCTTCACTACAACCAATGGACCCCGCTGAACCTGTTTTTTAGTATACAAAGCTACTTGAGTCGATTTTATTACTACTGGAGAGGAACTACTGAATGAACTAGTAAGCAAAACAGTCCAAAATAGTCCATACAACACAGTCCAAACAGTCATTATAATAACGCAAAAACAAGTACTAAGCATTTATTTAACTAGCAACTATAGACAGCATTTAGATGAACTCGGATCTGGCAGGTGCTTCTATTTCAATTCAACTCAGAGGTACATCAGTTCTTCTATAGTTCATAGGAAATCAGAAGATGTACCTGGAGATACAAAATGCAATGGAGAAGAAGAGAAAGTCAGCAACAATCAATGTAACAGTAGCAGTTCAGGACAGCTTCACAACCCAGCAGCAAGGATAACAATTTCGATTCCAAAACAACTCCAGAACCCAGTAGAAGACTCAAACAACACAATCAAACCCCGAAATTACTCGAATGTACACAGACTAACTCGAAACTGACTGAAATGCTTCTGAATTTTTACTGGAATAGAACTCAACCAAAATCCACCTCAAACAGACTCAAATGCACTCGCACTAGTCGCCAAACTTCTAAGTGCTGTTTAACAGACTCGAAATCATAGTAGAAACAGAGAATTTTTAACAGGAATTGAAAACAATTTGCAAAGGCAATGGAACAGTAAAAGCTTTTTTTGATTTTTCTGTTTTCGTAGGGTTTTTATTTTGATTTTGAAGGTTTGAATTTTCAAGCTAAGATCTGAAACTCAAAGGGAGGGAATTCTGGGGGAATTTGGATCTTCCCAAAAGCCCCTGAACAAGGCAAAGTGCCTGCCTTTTATAGGCACAAAGAGTGAGTATCAGATTTTGGTTTTTCTTCTAAGGTCCTTATTTATTTTCAGTTTAGTCCCTCATTTTAAAACTTACTACACAAGTAACTATCTCTATTTCTGCTGAAACATATATTAAAACCACATTCTAGAATAATCTAAGAGGTTCTAGCATAGTCTATTACCTTCCTACCCAGTTCCAATTACCCATATACCCCTGAACATATTTTAAAATCACTAAACAAACCCCCTCCTCTCCTCTGATTAATCCAGGGTCAATTAACAAAGCAAGAATCTCATAATCCCTACCCAACTCTTATTATTCCATCAGTTCACAAACACTAATCAATTCTGAAATTATGCTAAAACTAACACAAACATACTAATTGCACTGAATTTAGAGCAGAATCCATGAACAACAAATTAATTAAAAGAAAATGATACTAACGGGGAAAGACAATCACTAAAATCAGGAACTGACTAAACATCTGCTCTAATAGCAACGATTAACTAGGATTAAACTAAACTAAAAGAACACGAATCAAAACCACTTTAAACAAATACTGAATTATTAGCACCAAAAGATAAACTAAACTCGTAAGAACTGGAGAAAATAAGAACACAAAAAGGAAAAACAAAACTTACTGATAAAGAAACTCCGGCCATTCATTATTTTCCAAAGTCGGCCAATTCTGATGATGTTTGAACGCCCTAGATGATGGAATCTTCATGCAGATGATGAAAGTATCATATTGTGCCAATTTGGCACGATTTGGCACACTTAGGGTTTTGGCCGGAAACATTTAAATTAAAATTCGAAAGGTTCCGGTTGGATTCGAAGAACGAAACTTAGGGGGTTTGACAGAGGAGATGAAGGCGGTTCTAGGGTGTAAATTTGGTGGAGTTTGGGAGGGGTTGTGTCATGGACGGAAAACCTTTGATTAATTATTCGAGATGTTTGGCTGTGATTCGAAAGAAACCAAAGGCAGGGTTGGAAAGAGGGAAATGAGGGGCATTGGTGGTGTAATTTTGAGGTTGATTGGAGACGGTAACGTTCGCCGACGGCGGCGACTCCGGCGGAGTTGCAGAGAATGTACGAGGAAGGAGGTGAATGTCTTAGGGTTTCTCTACAATATTCAGACACTTTTATTATTCAACAAAAATTGACACAAGCCGTTGGATCAGGGAAAAATCGATGGTTATGAATTATGATTAATGGACGCCTAAACGGCGTCGTTTGGGAAGCCTCAGAACTCGGACGGGCTTGGGGAACGGGTTATGGGCTGATGTGGGCGGGTAACCGATTTGGGCTAAACGGTAATAATGCCAAAACGGCCCAACTTGATTTTCCAATTAAAGGCAACCCTTTTTTTTTTTTTTTTTTTTGTAAAATTGTTTTCCTTTTTATTTCTTTTTCTGCATTTTCCTTCTAATTTTCTTCTTTTATTTCTCAATGTTTTCATTTGTATTTATATTTTCATGATTTTCAAAATGTAAAAATTAAAACAAAGACCTAATATAATTCAAAGTTAAACTAATTAACTCCTAAAATTGTTTAAAAACTATTTCGTGACGAATTCACAATTAAAACAATTAAAAAGTGAACTATTTTTGTTATTTTCTTTATATGTGAACAATTTTAACTACTGATTAATACTAAGAATATGAAATTAAATCCCAAACACATGGCCAATGTATTTTTGTATTTTTTATATGAACTAAAATGCACAAATAAAATGCAAACAATTAACAGAAAATAACACAAAATTCACAAAATTGTAAAATAATGAAAGAAATCATTTTGTTTGAATTTTTGGGAATAATTCATATATAGGGCAAAAATCACGTGCTCACAAGAAGAAATATGACGGCATTTGACTATATTTGCAATATATCGAGTAACAAGATGAATTGGAATTTGAAGGTACAAATAGTGAGATTGTGGCACGTTCCAGACCGCAAAAAACTAGACAACACCGTCTCCCTTGAATTAATTATTCAAGATGAAAAGGTCCATTCTTTTTTAGTTGCGGTTATTTTTTCATAAAAGTTTGACTACAACACTGTACGACTGATTATTTGCCTGACTCTGTATTAATATGAATTTTTTGATTCTAGGGCGATCGTATTCATAAGATTGTTGGCCGATCACTTATACGTATGTTCAAATCAAAGATAAAAGAATTGGGTTTGTACGTTATGAAGAAATTTGTGGTTGGACCAAATTATACAAAACTTAAATACACGCGACATAAATTGAAGTTGGCATTTACTCATAAGACGATTGTCGAGGAAGCAAATGATCATCTTTTTGGTATGACTATCTTCGACTTAAAACCTTATGAGTATTTGATAAACAAAATTAATGTTGAAGAAAGTGAACTCTTCGGTAAGTATTCAATTTGCAGTTCTTTTATTTTAATGTCTTATCAACTTTCTCCTGATTATTTTTTAAATTATTATAGATGTCATTGGAGAGGCTGTAAGTTATGGTGAGGTAGAATCCCATAACCAAGGTGATAAAACCAACAATTATATGAATGTGGAACTTGAAGATCGTGAGTAAGATTGCGTCTATGAATTTACTTTGTTATATATTTTAACATGATTACTTATCGTTGTCTGATTAAGTTTTTCTATATTAACATGATAACTTATCCCCGATGATCTTCTCATAAATAATTGTGATGATCCAATATCGACAATTGTTGAAAGTACATATCCAAATTTCTTTAACCATATCAATGACATTGATTACCTCCTGCAAAGAGCAATTCGTGCTCCGACTCTTGATATGGTTGAGTCGATCAATGAATATATGGTTTCACTCAATCATAGTCCCGAGAAGACATATTTGAGTTCTGATACAGTTTGTATGTCTGATCATTCTTTTTCAGCTTTGGAGCACGTACATACACCCAAATTCCTAAACAGTATTAAATGTTCCGGAATTCCAAATCACTCTATTACTTTGTAGGTTGGTGTTCCTATGATGTTGCTGAGAAAGATAGACCAGTCATCAGGATTGTGTAATGGCACAAGGTTGATCATCACAAGACTTGAAAATCGAGTTATTGAAGCCAAGGTTTTATCGGGTAAAATGGCTGGACAAAAAGTGTTTATCCCGAGAATGACGTTGACGCCATCAGATGCAAGAATACCTTTTAAGTTTCAGCGAAGATAATTTCCAATTGTTGTATCTTTTGCCATGATAATTAATAAAAATCAAGGCGAGTCATTGTCTCATGTGGGATTATTTTTGAAGAAGCCAGTATTTACTCATGGACAACTGTATTTACTCGAGGGGCGAATTTCTGTGTTTATCTGCACTATTGCTACCGCATTCATTTGCTTAACTATTGAAAAATGCATTTTCAAAAGAGTCTTTAAGCTGAGCTAAAATGTTTCTCTCAAGATTTCACAACTTCATTTGCTTTACTCAAAAAGGGGTTTTCTCTGCTTCTATACAACATGATGATCTGATATACGTGATTTTTTACTGCTCAGTTGTTATTTACTTTTATTACTCACTGAGTTGGAGTACTCACTTTACTCCCTGCACCTCGTGTGCAGATGTAGGTATTTGTTCATCCGGTAGCGAGTTTTGAGTTGATTAGAGATTTTGTTATCGTAGCTGAGCAAAGTGACCGCCAACGTTCGCGGCACCAGTTTTCTTTCTTTTGATTCTAAATTCTATTCTGTATATTACTGGCCTTGTATTCGTATTTAGACTCTTCTAGATGCTTGTGATTTGTGACACCCCGGTTTGGGCTATGTTTGGGTTGTACTTCCGCTAATTATTATTATAAAATCATATTTAGACTGTTTATTCATGTTTAACTATTTTGAAAAGACAATTTGAGTTGGTTGGCTGGCCTTGTCTTCACGAGAGACATCATCACGACCGGAATGGGGTTTGGGTCGTGACAAAATGTTGCCCATATACACGAGCAAAAGTTGCATATGACTTGAAGGTTTCTCATGCTTTAAACTCTGATTTTAATATTTTGTATGTGTAGAACTTTCAAGTTTTCTTCTCCTTTTTATCATATTTTTTTTTTGTTAAATTTGTCTCTTTTTTTAAAAGGTTTGTTGTGCAGTCCCTTCTTTGGGTGTTCATATTATGTTGTTCTTGTGCTAATGATTATGCATATATATAGAAAGAGCAACGACCATAAAGTTAGTATTTAATGTTATGATAAAGTATCGAAGAAAAAAGTGTTTGCCGTTTTCTCTTTCTTCTTCTTTTTCATGCTAACTCTTGCCATTTTGAGTTTTAATCTTACCCTCTAATAACTAGCACATGTTTGAAGTAAAGAAAAAAAAATTCAGAACTATTTCCTCTTTAGAAGATCTCAAGCAGTTAGTTTTTATTTTATTTTTGCGAAATACATAAATAGCCCCTTCAAGTTGTCCCCAACGATCATTTGAACACTTTAACTAACCTAATGATCATTTAGACACTTTTTTTTATTTGATAGAAGTGTGTGTCTTTTAAACACCTTATGCTGACATGGCAAATTAATTGTGCAGCACTAAGCATTGAGCCCGTGAGGACTCTAAATAATGTTGTTTTCTTTTATTTTCAGCTCAAGGTATTTTTATGTGTGGCCCACACCACATTTTCCTTTTTTTCCTCCAAAAAAATTCCACCGTCTCCCCCAAAAATTCATCTCCACCAACCAATCTTCCTCCAAGCTAACACCAACAGCTCCTACTTATTTTAGGGTCACCGTCTGCCTATAAATCCACCACAAGATTAAGGAAACAAGCCAACAATATCATGTGACCTCCGTAATAACAATAAAGCAAAGAAAGAAAAATTAGGTAAAAGTATTGTTTTTTCTATAATTACACAATCTATAAATAATAGCAAACCCATAATACCAAATTCAAAGTGTACAAAAAATTTCACCTTAAAAAGTAGAAATTCACGAAGAAGCATGCACTGCAATCATCTGAATTAAAGAATGAGAAAAGAATCAAATTGAATTCGCGGCAAAAGTAAATGACAAAAAAAAATAAAATCTGGAAGAAGAAGAGTAAATAGAACAAAAACGGCAAAAAAATCCTTTTTCCGGTGACGTTTGACATTTCCGGTGACGTTTGACTTTTTCGGCAAATACCTTGTTATGGCTTATCATAATTCCATTCCACGAAGTTTGATTTTTCCGGTAAACAAGCATTACTTTAACTTAGGCTAAATTGATTTGAGTAAAAAAGATTAAATTTGGTATGGAGATTAAAAAAGGGTGTTTGTGATGAAGGAGAGAGGAGGCCGTGAAGAAGAAGATGGGGGAAAGGAAAAATTCTGTGTTTGGAAGAATTGAAAAATTATGTTTTAGTCTTTTTTAGTATTTCTTAATTATATGTGAAATTATTTTTATTTAAAATTACATGTGATCTTATTTAATTGGTTCATTTAACATATCAACAGCAAGTGTATGTCACGCATGGGGTCTGCTTGACTTAAGTGTCCAATAAATACACTTATGTCAAATAAAAGTGTCTAAATGGTCATTAGGTTAGTTAAAGTGTTCAAATAATCGTTGAGGATAACTTGAAGGGGCTATTTATGTATTTCGCCTTTTATTTTTTCTTCGGGTATAATTATTCGACAGTTATCATTCGTTAATAATGTAAAATTATTTTTTTCTCAGTGCCGCGTTTGTAAGTACATTTTTTATTAGTTATAAAAAGTATTGTTCTTTTTAAAATGGATAATAGAAGTATAAAGTATAAACTAACTGGAGTCGATTGTTCTATTGGACTAGATGTGATGTAGAACTTATAAGGAAATGTGATCTTTCTTATCTATTTTCTCTTTTAACCGTTTTCATGTCATATTTTTTTATTTATCTAATTTTTAAAATTGTAAAGTCTAAGATTATTCAATTTTTGTCCTTCTCTATTATTAATTTTTGACGATTCATATGCTCTTTCACGGTTTCAAACTTTTCATCTCCCCTACATTTATTTATTTGCTTGATATATTGACAAATGATCAACTAGAGGAATACATGAATGCATCCCTCAAATTAGAACTTCATGTTTATATATATTTGTTGTTGTGATTTCTCCTTATTTTTTCGAATTTGGAAAAGTGGGAAGGTAAACTAAAAAGACGAGCCTGATGACAACCTTTGTAATGTATTTGTGAAAATCTCTTTTATTAGAATATGTGAACTCTTTGTGGATTCCTCTGGTACACGCATCCTTTTGATACTAATTCCGATTTTCGAATAATTTATTAACTCTGTAATAAATATTTAACAATATTGTTGAGTATTAATTTAGGGAAAATTAAAATGGTGATTGTGGTCGCAAAATTTAATCATAATATTTTCAAGTATTTATATTTAGAATCTTGATTATATATGCTCATGTAATTAACTTATGCATCAAGATCTTTTTAGTATACCCTTACATAACTTTTTCCTTTACAAAAATGAAAATAAAATAGAAATATGAGTGTACACAAACACTTTTATTATGAGCAACTTATAAAATGGTTTATACATTTTATTCGATGTATAGAAAAAACGTACAATTACTCCGAAGATGTTAATTAAAGAGAGACAATTTTACCTTTTCTTTGCTTAATTAATTTTATTATAGTATTATTAATATTATCTACTCCCTCCATTCATTTTTAGTTGTCCACTTTTGACGTTATACTCCCTTTAAGAAAAAATAAATGAAGCATGTATTTTATAATTTTATCCATAATAATGATAGAATTTTCAAAAGTTTTGGGCATTGAGTAGTTAAGGAAGTATGAACAATATTTAATTAGATATAGAACGTAAAAAGACATAACAATTTTCTCCTTATTCAATAGATTATTTAATGAGAAATAAAGAAATAAACGTGTATGCATGTGTGGCGAAGCCAGAAATTTATCCAAGGGTGTTCAAACTTGAAGGAAGTGAAAAAAATTCTCCGATAAAGGGTGTTAGATATATGTCATATACCTCTAAAATCTAATATTTAACCTATCTACGCAGCGTAATTTTTCGACAAAGGGTGGTCAGTTGACCACCCTTGAGATAATGTAGCTTCGCCAGTGTGTGTTACTTTCTTTATTTTTATTTTTGAAATGTATGTCTTATATAATATGTACAAATTTTTTAGAATGATTGATTTTATTAAAACACGTAAGTTATGACTAATTAAAAGTTTGAAAATAAAGTATGATTTGAACCTTTTATGTAGTTCTTATCAAATATTCATTAATTTTTGTACCAAATAATCTGGATTAAAAAATTATTTAGCAATTCAAATGAGAAACATTATACTACTATTTTTAATGTCAGAATATATTATTCATTTGTTAATAGAATAAGTATCCATAAATCCGATTCTTTTGTATTCCGTGCAATAATAAAATATACTATTCCTATTTAACATGAGTTACATCACTACAATATCTTATATAAAGATGATACCAAGAAAATCTTTAGTATAAATAAAGCTTTTTCTTGGCAAAGAGTCACCATGAAGTCATGAACTATGTCCATGATTGATTTTTGCATAACTTCGTAGTATACGTTATTTCATAAACACAAGCCCTTAGACAACACATCAACATAAAATGAACTGATCTAACATATAAATAAATTTACCTGTTAAAATGATGTTGACCAAAATATATCACAATGATTTTTTATGGGAGAGAACTTCTGACGGTGACAAGAAAAAAAAAATAATAGTAAGTGATTTAACACTTTATTGTGCTTTTACATAGTGCAACAAAAATATGAAAAGGCCACATTTAATTATTATAAAAGTTGGAAACTCAAAAATTTAAACAATTAAAGCAAAAATATGAAAAGGGCCAAAGTAACTAAAAAACGTTTCACCATTGCAACTTCCCTGAATCCTCCATTAGTATGAATCAATGTAGCCAAAATTATCATTTAATAGACGTCATTTTTTATGTGAAGGGCAAAATTGTCATTCAAGTTTTTAGGGTTATTTTCGTCTTTCAAACTCTACTTTCTGGCTTCATACTTATAATATAGTATGATATGATTATAGTATTATTAATATTATCTACTCCCTCCATTCATTTTTAATTGTCCACTTTTGACTTTATACTCCCTTTAAGAAAAAATAAATGAAGCATGTATTTTATAATTTTATCCATAATAATAATAGAATTTTCAAATGTTTTGGGGATTG